GCCATTCTCAAAACACAGCTAAATGCAAAACACACAGTTAAAGCAATAAACACATATGTCATCTCAGTACTCACATGCTCTTTTGGAGTTATACATTGGACTCACACAGATCTCGAGCAACTCCAAAGGAAAACAAGAACAACACTTCTAAGCATAAACAACAACATCCTAAATCCGCCACAGAAAGATTAACCCTTCCATGTAAAGATGGCGGATGTGGCCTGATTGACATAGTTAACCTTCACTATAAACAAATACAGTCACTGCAAGAGTTTTCTACAGGAAACAAGAAACATCACAATTACATAAAGCAGTAACTCTAGCAGACTCGAATAACACACCATTAAACTTACACTCACATCATACAGACATGACACAACACACAAAGCATAGACACCATCAAGCAAACATGGGCTCAAAAGGCACTCCCATGGCAGGCATCTTTATGACCTGGCCCAGGATTTTGTTGACAAAACTGCATCAAACAGCTGGTTAGATCAGGGATGCCTCTTTGGGGAGACGGAAGGATTCATGATTGCCATACAGGATCAGGTCATAAATACTAAAAACTACAGAAAACACATACTCAAAGATACAACACTCACAAATGACACATGCAGAAAATGTCACATCATGCCAGAAACTATACAACACATCACTTCTGGTTGCAAGCTCTTGGCACAGACAGATTACTTACATAGACACAATCAAGTAGCAAATATAATACACCAAGAGCTTGCAAAGAAACACAAATTGGCAGACATCCACGAACCATACTACAAGTATATTCCACAGACAGTATTGGAAAATAACACGCACAAAATGTATTACGACAGAGCCATAATCACAGATAAAACAATTTACCACAACAGACCAGACATCACACTCATTGACAAACACAATAAAATCACATACATTATAGACATAGCAATTCCAAACACTCACAATGTACAAAACACGTGCACTGGAAAAAATTAGCAAGTACACAGAACTCGCCCAGTAAATAAGGAACACTACACAAAACCCTGGAAACATTACAATTAAATAGAAATACATACATCACACTACAGAAAGCCACTATATTGAATACATGCCACATTGTTAGGAAATTCCTGAATACAGACACACACACTGACACACTTATTTAATTTTAGTTTTGTGTTGGTTGCTATGCTTTGACTCTGGTCTGGCATAGTATACAGCCACCGGTGTGAACCGAGTATAACCGACTAAACACAACAATAATAATAATAATAATTAAATATGTATGTAAACTCAAGATGCAAAATTTTTGTCTTTCATGTTAATGTTAAAAAGTCTCAGTACTCTACACATCTGCTCTGACCGAGTCATTGGGGCAATTTTCTGGTAGGCTAGAAAATTGCAAAAGATCATTTGCTTGGTGGCCATTTCTTATTTCTGTGATGTTCATGTGAAAGATATGTAGACCAACAAAGGAAACGTGACAAGAATATTTAGCAACTATGTTTTATTTCATGTATTTGAACAAGTTCTTTATGGATTCCAGCTCCAAAATCAACAATTCAACACAGCTTCTAATAATGAATAATAGTGGGAATGACAAAAATATTCTGTTCGTGACAAATAAGTACAAATGATTACTGAAAACTATAACTAATACTTATATGTTAGCTTAAATCTAAGGGGAAAAAGATGATAGGGAGATTAGAGAATTAGAGGGAAATTAGGATATAGTAAAGTGTGAAATACCTGGTATTTTTGCTGGACTTCACAATTTGGGTGAGATGCCAATTTGAACTTTTTCTGAAGAGCCTCTTGTCGTCATCTTCACTAAATTTTTTCTTGCACCTAGTTGCTACACCTTTTGTAGTAACTGTGATAAAATCCAACTTTCTTCTCTCTCTCAAATTCCCCAGTTGCTTCCATTTGTGACCTGGAGCACCACATTCAACATTTGTCCACCTTGAGGTCTGGGCCAAAGAATGTCCTTCCCTTCTCTCACTGGCCCTCAGGACCTCTTTTCTTTCATTGTTTTCTGTGGTTCCAAGAATCGGTCATCCCACCCAAGGGAAAAGAGTTAGAAAGGAAAGTTCTGGAAGCAAGAAGAAACAAAGAACTGTAATATTTATTTTCTCAATCAGAGGTTGAGTTAACATAAGTTCAATATTTGTTAGTTAGTTCTCCGATTTTGACGACAATTATTTTTCTCCTTATCTGCAAAAATTATTTACAATATTATATTTACTGAATACAATCAAGTACATGGATGGGTTTCTCAGAAGCTCGTTTCATATTTCTTATTCTCTGATGGTTCCATTCTCCAATCCCCCTATGCAGTCAGTCCCTTCATTGATCTATCCAGATCTCCAGATGGAAAGAGAGCGCCTCTGTTGGCCCATACCCCTCCTGTTCCCCCACCGGTTATATTGCCTCTCCAGGCCTAACAGACAATGGAATGTTCAGGAATCTTACCAAAGAACATTGTGTCCAACATTAAATATTTTATGACAAGCGATTGTCACAGAACAAAGGAGAGTACTAAAACTATACAACAATCCACAAAACCTTTTTATAACAGTGTTGTGTCCCTCCCTTGTGTTAGTCACCACCTGAAGCAGACCTCAGTGGAGGTCAAATGTTCATGAAGATTGTTATAGGACACAACACTGTTATAAAAAGGTTTTGTAGATTGTTTTTACTCAATGCAGTGTTAAGACTAGTAGTCATTTTGTGCTAAAACTATACTTAATATATATAAAATGGCATACTGCCACATTTCAATATGTTGTTTCACTCAAGAAAAATAACTAATAATCAAAATACAAGCATCATCTATCCATTTATTGCATTAAATTTTAAATAATGTCTTATTCTAACTCAGGCCTTAAGTTACTGTGGTATTGCCCATGTGAGCCTGCCACAACATGCATCTTCTAGCTTTGACTGAAGACTGATATGATGGGATCTAATTTGACTAATACTTAGTACTTTAATGCTAAAAGTGTTTTTAATGATTATAAGTATTTTAATATTAATATTAACAAAAAAAAGCTATGCTAGTACTTTTGACATTGTTCATAGTTTGAACTTCCAGAACTGTGAGTCTTGCAGTTTTACAAGTGTAATACAATGCCTTGCTGACATTGTTTTATAAAAAAATTTTGAAACAAAAACTTTGCAGTTATTTTTGTTAATTTAAAGGTCTCTTATTACATCATTTTACGATAAAAATTTTTACATTTGATCTTATAATACAGATTTAAATTACAAATTTTATTTGGAATATGTACTGTACCATTTAAATCATACCTGCATTTTAAGTATGTTCTATAGTGCCTCAAGAAGATATTGTATAAATGTTGACAGTACAAAGTACATGATCATTGAAAACCCTTTCAAAAGACTGTTTGTTTTTTTAATGATTATATACTTGGTACTGTCTGAATTTGATCCTGAGTCCCCAAAGTATAAAATTGATGCCTTATCTGCCTCAGTCATCCAGCTGATATGTGCATGTGTCCCATATATAATATATATATTTAGGTAGGTCCATTTTATATATAAAACGGGCCTTAATTTCATATTTCCATGCCAAAATTTGTTGCCACTCTGATACCAGACCCAGTAACTGACTTTTTGCCATGAGACTGTACTGTTTACAGTAACAGAGCACTGCTAATGAATGGTGCAGCAGTGCAGTGCCATTTTCAAGCATTTAATTGTATCATGAGATGGAATGGCTGAATTGTGGGACAATTCTGAGTTGGGAGATGACACTGCACTATTTAACAGTGCTCTCACAGTATATTGTACACAACCACTTTGATTTTTTCCATATAATGTTTTGATCAGTGCTGGTTTTAATTTAAAAAATTAACTTGTGTAATAATGTCAAATTATATAGTAATTATATATATAATTTCATGATTTTATTTTTCTTTGGGATGCTGTAGTTCTGCAGCATATNATCTGATGCACGAACTGTCTCCAAAACAGCATTTTTGTTTACAACAGAATCTCATCACTGTAATGTAAGTGTGATTTTAATAATGCAAAGTTTGTTTCTGAAAAATAAGATTATGAGAGATATAAGTTTAAATACACATTATTTGATTTTATTTAAAAATAATCGTGATGAGAGTCAGGTGAATTGTTTAGGTCGCCAAGCTTTTGCAAGAAAATTTACTTCTTTCATGGATGCATATAAAAAAGCGACAAAAAAGGAATTTGGTTATTTATTATTAGTAGTATGCGTTTGATACATTCTGAAGTACAAAAATTAATTAGTATATAACACATTTTTTTCAAAAAAAAATTTACTATTTGTCATTTAATATACAGCAAAAATAATAAAGATTATCCAGTTACTTAATAGAAATTCTTAGAACAGAAAAAACAATATTTCTATTAGGTTGCAATGATGTTCCCATAACTTCATTGGTTATTAAATCAAGGAGTTATATTGCAAGAAAATTTGATAGTGACATAATAATGTGTGCATGTGTTAGGAAGATTGAAATGTTATTTTAAGTTGTATTAACTAGTAATAAAAGTAGAAATTGGATCAGTTGTATTAATATATTAAAGCTATTAAAGATTTAATGATGTATTTATTATATAAATGTTTACTAGGACAGATTGTATTAATAAGACTTATTGAACTAGTGTTCTGTTTCTGCAGTTGAGGAAAACTTATTCAGAGAAAACAATCAATCTTTATTGTTTACATGGTATTTCACCTGTATGCACTGTGTTTCAGACCTTCAGGTCCCTCTTCAGCAGGTTTACAGAATACCAGGTGAACAATAAAGATTGTTTTCTCTGAATAAGTTTTCCTCAATTGCAAAAACAGAACACTAGTTCAATAAGTCCTAATTAATATGATCTGTCCTAGTAGACGTTTATATAATAAATGGTAAAATAAGGACACAAAGGCATATGAATTAATTTAATGATGTACAGTAATTTATTTTTAATACATACAAAATTTTAAAATTATTAAAATATTTAATATTTAGGAAGATGCAAGTACTGAAATAAGAAAGGCACTTGCACAAGGAATACCTCCATTTCCTTATAAAGTTGCAAAAGCACTTGATCCAGATATATACAGAAATGTGGAATATGATTTATGGAATGAAGTGAGAAAAGGTGTGTTTCATCTCAGCTTTTTTCTTTACGTTATTAAATATTCTATCACAATTTATTAATGTAATCAACTGGAGATTGAGATACAAAGAAAATAAATTGTTTTTTAAGTTTGAGTTAAAACAAAAGAATAAGTTGCGAATGGTTTCAAAAAATATTAGACTCGTCAGTGAGAAAATTCTAAACATAATTGATGATGCATTACAAAATTAATATATTAAAACAAGCAAATCTCCTGATGATTACAACATTTTGAACAAACTATTTCATCTTTTAAACAGAAAATAATTTTGTCATCAATAATATTTTCTGTTTAATTTTTTTCTGAGTTTTTAATTTCCTTTGTCCTGTAATAAGTCATGAAATTAAAAAAAAATTGTTTACACTTAATTTACATAATTGGGACAGTTTGATTGCAGGTGTTTTTATAAATTATGGGGGTGACCAGTGAGTACAGTTTGCTAACAGGTGCTGGGATTAAGTTGTTTAATATTTTTCATTATTTGAAACTGTCTAGTCTTTGTATACTTTCAAAATAACAATGAACTGTCTTCAACATTTCATTGTGGTTTTAAAAAAAGTTGTATAAAATTTAAAATATCAAATCTTAGTTTTAAGTAATGTAAAATGGATTTTTACATTAGAATTTAAAACATGAAACAAAAAATATCATTTTTAATTTTGATTTTGTTGTTTATTATTTAGAATTAAATTAATAATTTTATATTAGTAAGTAAGTCTGAATAGTGTTTGGCACAAGAAAAACTCTCATTAATTAAATGTAATTATCTGATATTAATGTTACTTAATGTCAATATTGTTGTTTCATTCTTAATCATCACTGTTAAATCACAAAACATAAAGTAGATTAGACCAAGCTCCTATTATAGTATCAATTGGCCTATTGACAATACTATGTCTTGTTTATAAAATCATACTGCCATTTTATGTTACTAGCATAGAGGTATGAAGGAGTACATGTTGAGAGTTGATATTTCGCACAGAGTATTAGGTGCCCAAATCATTTGCGCATAAAAAAATCCAGACTTGTATGTAGTCAGGGGACTAAGAACAGAGTCAAAATAAAATACAAAATGGTTGTAGTACTGTAGCGTACCGAAATACGTTAGCGTGGAGATTAAGAATAGAAAAGACAGCACAAATTGACAAAACACTGAACATATTTAATTTCACGAACATACACATCTGAGGTTCACACACGATTTTTGTTTCGCGAGGGGGCTCTCGTCACCCCTTTGATCCGGACACAAGAATACGACGGAGTTATCTAACATAAAATCCCGACGCGACAATTAGGAATCGCTGCAATCACACATAAATTGCCCGACGCGACAATTAGGCTTTGTTCTTTATAACTTGATAATTGGACTGTTCTTACATGGCAGATGATCTTGATACATGCTGAAAGTCTCTCCTTTAGTACACGATTGTCCTCCTTCCACGTGGTCCTTTCTTCTTTGTTCTTCCCCTTCCTTCCTCTGCCAACGACCCGACACGAACCCAGGTGAAACGAAGAAAAAAGTCCTCTAAGCACGTGNAATACAGTGGTACCTTGTACTTTGATTTTAATTTCAAACATTCCAGAGTAGAGATTTAATCTAGAGTTTGAATAATGCATGTACTGTATATTCAAACTGTGCATGCAGGTGAAAAATGCTTCTGCTGCATAAATATTATCTGTTGTACACTCAATTGCACATTACACTCACTGTGAAAGCATCTTTTGCATTTGCTTATATATAATCCTACCTATTAACCATGGCATCCAAGAAGAGTAGAAGCAATAAAGCATAAGAGGAAGGTAGTATCAACAATTGAAATGAAAAAAAATTTGCAATTGGAATATGTTGACTGGAATATCATCAGTCACCAAACCAATTTATCTAACTTATTCATTTCAAAATTTGCGGATAAATTAAATTGGGAATACATATGGAAAAATTACATATTCCCAATTTAATTTATCCGTGATCTTTACATAACTTGAATTTTATGTAAGTCAAGTTATGTAAAGATCTACGGTCTGCATTATTTATGTAATTAGGGATATTTGTAAATGCCATATTGGAATAATTTTGTTGTTTTACCTGTTTCATTCATTAGAACTAATGATTGATGTGTTAATTAATTTGGAAAGCTTAATGGACGAACTCATTATGGAACATGGTGTCATCTGCCATTTCCCATTAACCTTTTGACTTTGCCCCTTCTTGTTTTGAGGACTTCCATCATTGTCTCCTCATGTCATAAATAGCTAACTAATGTTTTTAGCGTTGAAACCAGTTGTAAAGATATATTTCATCGTTTTCCCTAGTTTTATCAATTTTTTTTTCAGATGGATTCCATTTTATTATCGGTCAACTAGAATCTGATGCATGTTTTATAATTTATTTTGAATAATTTCAATCAGATGTCATTTTTTGTTCTTTAACATAATTGATAACTGTAAGAAAAATCAGACCCATTCGAAATGGGAGAAATTGGGACTGGAATAGCAAATTTTATTCAGGATTTAGTGACTTTGTTGTGTAGAAGTTTGACTGTATTTTATAATTTCTTGTATGTTTTGCTTATACTTATGGTATCTATCATTGTGTGACCATTATGTCAGCAATGCCCAAGTCGGGACTGATACCACTGTGACTGTTACATTTGTATGCAAGTCTCACGTGAGTGGTTGCATATGTGAATGGTCAGGTTTGGGATGGAAGGAGGAGTTGACAGCATGTCAGAAATAAAGAACTTCACTACACATTTAAACATCAAATAACAACTATTTATTTGTTTAAAGTTAGAAGTATCCACTAATTCTATCCTTTTGTATAAGTGTGTATTCTTACAAGGATGCCGAACTGGGTGTGTGTGTGTTTACAATTTCAGACATGAGTTGATAACTATCTGGATGGTTAGTTGTGATGATCATGACTTCTCAAGAAGGGAAGGCTTGATTCAGGTCAAGAAGGGTCTTGTTTCATTGATAATGTTCAAGTACTTGTTTGTCAAGGGGTTGATGAAAGTTCGATGGAAAAATTGACAGGAGTTCGGGAAAAGCAGTGGTCAAAGACAGCAATGAGGTTAACACACACAATTTTAGGCAGGCGAACTTCGTTATCTGCCCTCTTACCTTTTATTCAGGGTCCTCCCTCTGCTTCTCTAATGCCCATTTTTGGTAAAGTTGATGGTTGCTCCAATCTGCAATATTCCCCCCCCCATTTCCCTGAATAAGTAGTTTTTCGGAAGCTATGTCACTCGTGGAGGAAGCATTATCCATGGGAAAATTTTGTGAAGTTCCTTGACTGTGTTTGTGAAATTGAATACTACTAATCCTTTATTTTATTTATTTATTTTTTTACTGAAAAAATAAGATTGAAATCGTCAAATTTACACTAGCCCAGGTTCTCACATCCACATAATAATAATGATTTTAAGAGTGGGTTGAGTTCTATTGGATGTCTTGTGAGAGCCTGAACAGAAATTGATTTTGTGGTCCAAATGTTTGCAATCAAATGAGACATTAAAGATCTCAGCTTTCAGAGAGAAAATAAAGTAAGATTTAAAGGTCTTGTTTGAACAAAGAAGTTTTTTTATATAAAACAGGAAACAAAAGATGAATAGTGTGGAAAAGACAAGTTGAGGGAAACCTAGTTAGAGAGGAATTGTGTTTAGTCTCAAAGTTGATCCCTCCAAAAGGTTTCAGATTGTCACCAGGTGATGAGGGGAGGCCTTTAAAAAGGAGGAATTGGGGGTAAAACATATAAAGAAACGTGATTCAAGGATGCAACATTCTTGGTTTGTAGTTCTCCCATCTCAAACTTTTGTTGCTTTTTTGATTTGTGATTTTAACAGAAGATTTCTTTACATCATTGGAATAAACTTCCCTCTGCCATGTTGCCCTGTTCACCCAGGTTCACCTTTTTGCCACAGAATCTCACTCGAAGCCATGCACCACAGGACTGAAGAAAAGTGATGATCAGGACATTTGGACTTGCTTCTTGCTCCTTAAGCTGTGTCACAATGTAATTTAAAGAATTGTTGTAAGAAAACTTTTATATTTTAATAAACGGTTAACAATGGAAAACCTGTCTCAGAGGATCTTTTTACACTCACACGCGATAGTCATGACCTCTTGACTGTTCTAATTAACACATTGAGTTGGCCAGCCTCACAGTGGTGTCAGTGAAGTGGGATTTTTAAGTTCCCAATCTCCATCCATCATCAAGCCTCAGTCTGAAGAGAGGAAAGGGATTACAGAAACTTGGACAAACTGGGACGAGAGGGAGAGTAAAAATTTCAAACAAACTGCAGACATAATTTATGGATAGCCCCTATAATCTATTACAATTGTATTTAGACATTTTATTTATCAATATAAATAACTTCATGGTATTCCAACAAATTATACTGAAATTTGAATTCAAATATTAAAATTTTTTCAATACTTTGAGTCAAATCCATTTATAAAACATTCTTGTTTAAACTTATATTAGCATTGAAATTTAAATATAAACTCGAATTTAAAATGTTAATTTCTAGGTTCGCATTGAAAAAGATCAAGCAGAACCTTTTCATGCTCATATTCAAGAGATGGATTCTAATCAAGGTCCGGTCACTGTTTTTGTTGAAGAACTTGGTGAAAAGTAAGAATTAATTTTTTTATACTGAAGTGTTGAAAAATAAACTAATAAAATTGAATTGCTGCAACTTTCTATAAATTATTGTATGTTGTTTTAGAGTTAAATATATAGTAAATATGTAAATTGTTGATATTTAGTAACTGATAAATCTGAACTTGGTTTATCAGTTTTTGATTAACATGTTACAACAAAATACAGTGGGTGATCGGTTAACGAACAAATTGGATAATGAACACCTCACAGAACAAACACAAGAAGCGACATAAAAGAATGAATACAGATTGGTCTTCTCTTGCCTTCAGGCAACAATACGAAATTTTTTGGAGTGCAGGAGACATTGACGTTCAA